ATTTCACAAGTGATTCCCACATATCGCACACAACTAGAAATTGACCTAAGTCATTTCTACACCCTTTTTCATTCTCATTTTATCTATTTTACATGCATAGGTGAGTGATATATATATATATATATATATATATATATATATATAAAGTGTGGGTACAAGGTCTAGGGACGAGTGCCGTAAAGAATGCTATTCAAAAAGCTCTAGCAGAGAAGTCATCAACATGATAAATTTTCAGTAAGGTACGTAACAAACATTTGGTTTTATCTACATGTAAAGGTTCATTTATTTTTTTTCTATATGACTGTCTAGCTTATGAGTTCTATTGTGAATAAATGGTTTAAGTGTTCTAATGTTACGATGGGAATAAAATGTCTTCATGACAGATTATAATGTTATGGTTTAGTTGTTTATGTGACAAGCGGAAAGAAAAACCAAATGGTTGAGACAATAAATGGTTGGATGTCTAAGTGACGTATTTTTATTTGCGTAGTGGAAACGTCAAAGGGACGAACGCGAATTGTTAGACTAGGATGTCAACGTGACTAAAAGTAACTCAAGTGTTTAAGTTTGTCTTCATGACTAAGATAAGTTAAAATTGATTTTGTCTAAGTAACGGAAGCTAAATTTTTGATGTAATGTGAGTAGTTCAAAAAAAATGAATATCGAGAAAAGGATACATTTTGTTAAGTCGTTTGAGTGACGATCGCATATTGATATGGTGATAAATTTGTATGGTGTTTTGTCGCCTGGGTGGCAGCACAGTTATTTCTGTGTGAAACTGTAGCGCAATGAAATAGAATTTTGAGAAAATATATGAAAACATGAATATTAAAATTTCATAAATGAGCAAGGACATCACATTACTTTCTTTACTCTATCTCTGAAATTATTAATGAGAATTCACTGAAATTTGCTTGAAAACTTTTCAAGTAAACTGTACACAAGCTTGCAGTCCACTGCCACAACTAGAAGTCCAGTCAGGAGTGTCAAGAAGGACTCGTGTCAGTTTCTTATGTTTAAAAAAAAAAAAAAATTGGGTTGTATAAGATGTAAGTATTTTGGTTTTGTCATGTAAACAACACTTGTAAATATTTCTAGGATATGTGTATTCTACATGGTAGTAGGCCTGTGTGCCGGTGCATATGACGTTTCTTTTTTTTTTTTTTTAAAATGATCCTAAGATATTCTAGGATGAGTTTTCTTTAAATGTCACGTTATAATGTTTTATTAATAGTGGGATTGCCTAAATTTTATTTTTTTATAATAATAGTGTAGTGGGATTGGAGTGTTACAATTTTTGGTATCAGAGCCTAGGTTTATAGGTTCTCTAGACATGAATGCCTAGGTCGGCAATGGATTGGTTAAGTTGTTTGAGTCAGTGAGTAAAGATGGGTTAAGGTGCTAATGCTAAGTACGTGTGTATTTGTGTACATTGTGAGCTAATTGTTAAAAGCATAATGGATCTTCTCGATGGTCAAAATCAAGGGGAAGCTGAAGGTTCTAATGATCCTGTTGTGGCTAAGGCATGGAAAGGACAACAATAGGAAGGTGGGGAAGGTGAACAAAATTCAGAGGACGCTGGAAGTGATGGTGCAAGTGGCGGCATCAACAAATCGGATTGTGGAATTGCAAACGGAGATTCAGGCAGCCACTAGAGCAAGACCACATGTACCCCTTGGGGAACCGCGAGGTACGGTTCATGAGAGGTTTATGAAGTTGGATCCTCCGATGTTTGCAGGGACAATTAATCCATCGGAGGCGGAGGACTAGCTGAAACAGATGGAATTAATTTTTGAAGTTATGCAACTCTATGATGATCAACGAGTGACACTTGCATCCTTTATGCTTAAGGAGGAAGCACGATTTTGGTGGGAGGCTGCCAGGCGATTGTTGGTTGCACCAATAATGGGAATTGAAGGTCAAGTAGCCGGTAATATGGCTCCAGCACTACTGCATATTACTTGGGATCAATTCGTGAAAGTGTTCAATAACAAGTATTTTTCTGAGTCTTATCAGTATGAGCAGAAGATAGCATTTATGACTCTAACTCAAGGCAGGATGTCGGTGGCAGAGTATGAAAAGCAATTCACTACATTGCCACATTTTGCAAAGGCTTTTGTTCAAACTGATGAGGCTCTGTGCAAAAAGTTTCAATGGGGATTAGCTTACCCCATATAGAGTCGACTTTCGGCCTTTGAGTTAACAAGTTATGTGACCTTGGTTAATAAAGCTTTGGTTGTTGAGAAAGATGTAAAAGAATCAGAGGGGCGACGGGAGCAATTTAAGAGGAGAAAGTTTGACACTATTCTTGGTATGAGATCTCTATCTGGGGGTCAAACTTTGGGACAGAAGGGGCAAGGATCGAAGTTCTCACAAACAAGAGGTGTTGGAAATTCTCGTAAATCAATTGGTTCACGGGGTTATACTTTCTTTAAACCTCCGACAGGATTTCAGGGCAGGGGACAATTGAGTGGATGAGACACTCGTGTTACTTGTTTTAAATGTGGAGTGAAAGGTCATATCGCTCGGAATTGTCAAACTGGATCAACTGGTGGAGCTCGACAATGTTATGTGTGGGCAGGTAGGACATTTTGCACGTGAATGTCCAACCAAATCTGTCATGTCACCTTCAATGGACAGTGTAAATCTGGGGAGAAGAGATACATCAACATCGGCAGGGATGCAAGGTACATGTAACGGGTCTGTTGGTGCTATTGGGACTCAAGGACGAGTTTTCGCTATGACACAACAGGATGCCTATGCGTCGCCCAATGTGGTTACAGGTACAATTTCTGTATTAGGTGAAAATGCTCGAATTTTAATTGATCCCGGATCCACACACTCTTTTGTTGCACACACCAATAGTAAGCATTGGAAA